CCCCTTTTTTTTTTTTTTTTTTTTTTTTTTTTTGCTTACCTTGACCCTTTTTTTTTTCATTTTTTTTTCTTTCAATACCGAAAGTGTTTTAATGAGTGACCAATGAAGGTGGCCGATTAGCTGTATCTACTTTCCAAACAGGAAGTTGAAGCAAACTCTCATGCAATAGGAGCGTTTAAAAGACTAAGTATGAAGAATCAGATTGCTAATACGAGCATTGCTACGTTTGCCTTTTCATGCATAAGCATCCTCCGCTTTTCCTTTCCAAACAAAATTTCTGATAGTACATTTTTCACGCCTCCTGCACAAACAAAATTTTATGTGAAGTAAATTAACCGCAAAAAAGGAATAGAAAAAATACTTTTTCAGAACCACGGGAAGTGATGAGAAGAGAAGCAAGGTTTTTTACCAAAAATCACTACCTTGCAAAGCACCGTTTGTTCAAGCACCGAATTATCCCAATTTTTTGTTTATCTGAAAAAATGATATTTATAGTTTTATAAGGTGTGTAGCACGACAAACCTATTTGGGGGTCTCCTCAACACGCACACATGCTCTCCTGTTCACGAATACATTTGCTTGGATATGTTATCTCATACATGGACAAATACATTATTTTTTCGTATTTTTATTAAATAATTTTCTATTTATTAATTTTAAATTATGGTTGGCTAAGAATTTGAAGAAATCTCCCACGCAAAAGTTGTTTGAATTCTTATTTTACATAACATATATTTTTTGACAAGGGTTTTACAGTTAACTTGAAAATGGAGTTATATTAATTTATAGTTCTATAAACCCGATTTCTCAGAATCTGGTTTTTACCAAACTCCCGAAAACGACTTATAGTTCTATAAATGAGTATTCACTGAAACATTTTTTTTTAACATCATTCGAGTTCTCCTTGCAGACCTTTAAGATTGTCTTGTTTGAGCTATGCTTTTTTTCAATCTATTAAGAACAACTTATAGTCCTATAACATGCTCTTTGCTGGAAAAACGTTTCTTGCACATTTTGAGAACCGCTGGACTTTCTGCCAGTTTTTTTGCCTCCTTTCTCGAGAAACAGTTACAAACGCTCTCTTTTATGTGTCAAAAATAAAAGTTTGACTTTCACTTTTTCATTCTATAAAAAATGTTAGGTTTTCCGGTTTTGTTAAGGTTTTCACGAATATAATTTGTTGAAAATACGAAGGTCAGAGAATCATGAACATTTATCAATTTCCTTGTATTTTACATACATAAGCCTTCTTAGGTATAGTGAGTGATGAAAAGGTAGCGTTTTACAATTTCAGGGACACACTCTATGCACATACAGGGTTTGAAACGAGAGCGCAGGATCACGCAACAGTTTATTTTTTCAGACGCAACAATTTGCCTTTTCGCAATTCCTCTCTATTTTCCCCCCTCATTTTTTTTTTTTTACTGAAAGAGCCATAATGAGTAATAAATGAAGATGGCCGACAAGTCGTATCTACCTTCAGAGCGGGAATATGAAGCAGATTCTTACACAATAGAAGCGTTAAAATGACTAAGTACGAAGAATCAGAACAAACTGGAGCATTTATGCCTTTACCCTCTTGCATGCAAAAACATCCTTCATTCTTACTATTCGAAACATAATAGGATCTTGAAATACGAAGGTTGAAGAATCAATTGCCTTCGTGGGCACTTTCCCTTTCTTTCATGCATAAGCCTTGCTCGTTCTAAGTTTTTTTTTTTTTTTTTTTTTTTTTGCAAGCTGAGCGATGAGAAGTTGACGTTATCAATTTCAGGGACACTCTTTATGGACATGAGAGCGCAGGATTATAGAACACGCAGCATTTTGTCTTCTTAGACGCCGCAGTTAGATTTCTTTTTTTTTTAATTTTTTATTTTGTTTACCTTCACCCTTCCCCTTTTTTTCTTTTTTTTTTTAATTGAGGCCGACTGGGCACGTGAGTTTTATAATGGCGGAACGAAGACTTCAAATGAAAAACAAGATCTGACGATGCCGCTTTGAAGGAGAGATGATCACAAACCTCCAAGGGAAATGTGAAGATGAGGTAGTAATGACGTTGGCATCTCTCACGATGGTAATTTTCCCCTTCCGTGAGTATTCATCGTTCTTGTCCCTTCCTTCGTCTTTTATTTTTTTTATTTTTATTTTTTTTAATACGAGCATTAGAAGGTTGAACTACCACATCTGAGTTTGGATACAGACTCACGCTCAATTGGGAGCGTTGAGGTCAAAAACCGAAAAACACAGAGGAGATGCGAATATAAGGTACTTGGTTCAGAGGGTGATATTGACATCCCCTTCACTTCCTATTTGATTCCTCCTTTCTGTGAGTTTTCTTCACTTTCCTTTCTTCCTTTTTTTTTTATACATATTGAAAAGGGCTTAAAATAGTAATGAATGAAGATGGCCGATTAGCCGTATCTGCTTTCGAAACGGGAAGAAGAAGCAGGCTTATAGACAAGACAAATTGTTAACCCAAACATTCCTATTTCGACTTGCCTTTTACAGTCACCATAGTAACATTAAAACCAGAGAATCAAATTTTCTTGCATAAGCCCTAGTCCGTCAATTCTTTTTTTTTTTTTTAATAAGCACAGGGAATATATGCAAATACCCAAGCTGTTGCTTTCGTCCCAAACAACGAGACATAGAGCATTAATCTCAAACTTGTTTTGAGAAAAAAAGGCTCCGCGGGGTTTCTCCTTTGCATTATTAGTTACTAGAGTGATTATTATTAAGCGACTAGACATTTAAGGTTCAAACAAGCCAAATAAAACAGAGAAGGCGAGGGCAACAAAAATCTTAATGAGGTGAGCAAAATAGACAGAGGGAGAGGTGAGCTGATGATTTGACAGTAAGGGT